ATACAATATGTTCAAACTGATCTATTTTATTGAACTAAAATGAGGTCATATAAGTTCAACTAGTTTACAAATGTAAGATTTCACAGAAAATGTTTGTTTTATTTCAGCTGTCACTTTAAGGCTATTTAATGAAAAATAATATTAAAACTGATTTCCTCTAATAAAGAAATAGTTTATTTTATTAGTTTTGTTGAAAAAATATTAATAAAACCCGAGCTTGTAATAATTTAAATTATTTTATAATTCTAAGTTTTGATAAGAATTGTGTTTAAAAGAAAACCGACTGTTTTAGTGAAGCTCTGTGGGGCCGGCCTGAACCAGATCAGAGCACCAGGACCAGACTGAGCAGGAAAACCCACTTCACTCARTATCTGTCAGATTTCCCACTAAGATCTAATACCATCACATCCAGTCCTGGAGGTCCAGACAAGTCCAGACCCTGCACAACACAGCAAGTAAAAAGCAGATGATGTCATCAGTACCTTTCCTGTGGACCCCCTGCATCCACTGCAGGTGGGAGAAGTCCGGTTTGATCTCAGGGAAATAGTCGGGCTGATGGTGGAAGTGGCTGAGAGGGACCTCCGTGTTACAGAACTCACTCTTAAAGGACGAGGGSCCGGTGGCGTAGGAGCACGAGTAGTGCTGGCCGGGGGGCCAAGCCTGCTCCATGCAGGGCGGGTGGTGCAGCGGCTGGGGCTCGTAGTGTCCGTACCCCGGCCCCTCGCCTGGGTACATGCAGTGCTCCCCACCGCTCTGAACACCGAAGCCCCCCACCCCGGTGTGGGGCATCTCATACATGTCTGGCATGCAGAAGTTCATCATGAAGAGCAAGGAGCACCCCTCAGCCTGACCCGGTCCCTGGTCCCCAAACCAAAGAAAGATCCACTTTTGTTGAGTAAAGACAAAAAAAAAAAAGGGATCCTGAAGCTGAACCCACAGGAAGAAGAAACCTTTGATCCAGTAAATCCACACACTACACCTACCCACTGCCCCACCTGCCACCACCCGGCCGAATTGGGAAGCAGAGATTTATGACGACGCAGGGCTCTAATCTGACACTCCGCAAATCCTTGATGTGCCACTTCCACTGGTAATGTCACAGATTAAGATCTGTGTGGCGCTCCTGCAAAGACGACTGACTGACTTTTTACTTCACGCAGTCCRAGACCCTCCAGCTTCTCTTAGCAGGTGACATGCTGGAGAAACAAAAAGCCTAGTCAAACCCGAATACGTTTGTGTGTCTCAAATATAATCTGAAAACGACACGAGGAGAGAGARCACATCCACACCTTCAGTTCTTTACGGAGGAACATCTGGAACAAACGTTCTGCTTCCGAACATGTTCAGAGTGGGAACTGTTTCTGGCTAATTAAAGACATTAGTAGAGGACAGAGACACACTGAATAATCTTGAATAATCTGTTTCAGTTAGCTTAAACACAAGCTCTCCTCAGCCGTATTGATCAGACTTCCTGTTCAATAACGAGAGGATCAGCCTTCTGCTCACGGTGCGCCTGAAGCTGACAACAAAAGAAAAATGATTTAGATTCTTTCATGGTGCGTCACTTCATTCACCGCCGCGCGTCTCTTCTCCTGCAGTTAATTTAACTGTTGAAACATCGAAACATTTAACACAGGCCTGGGACTTTCATGTTCAAAATGTTTAACTTTATTTATAAAACTCCGTTCACGTCAAAACATTCTCTTGTTTTTGTTTTCTTTTTGTACCTTTAGCTTTCAGCTATGGCTTTTACTAAAGATAAGTTCTTTACTTTTGTTACTATTATCTTTTAGCTACAGTTTAGCTAAATTAGCAATAATTTTATCGAATTTAGCATTTACCTACTTGTTGCTATTTAACCTTTAAGCTAGTTTTGTTACTTTTAGATGTTCTGCTGTTAGTTCCTTCATATTAAAGCTACGTTATTGTTCAAAATTTGTGAATTTGACAAATAAAACTATTTTAAAAACTGTTGAAGATTTTTAGTTGAACAGTTTTAAATC